ACTGCTATGCTATACACTGGAACTGAACAATTAAGTAAGTGGAGAGAGCAATGTTTTTCCCTATTGGAGTGGGAATTAAGATAAAGGAAGAGAGGTTAGAATGACGCATGAAGTGATGGATTAGACTTGGAGATATCAGTGTGAACTCATGTCTGGCTCAACATCAGAACGCATAGAAGTATTTACGGATATGTGTACATATATGGGTTAGTATACATGCCTATATCTCTTTGACTTGCAGCTGAGAGGACGTAGAGGCAATGATACCCTAGCAGCAATGAGCACACCTAGCTTGCAGATGTTGCTGTCTAATACCATGCTCCAATAAAAGAAACCAGGGCTCCAATTCTAGGACTGGGCCAAGGACTATGCAAAATATTTCCTGGAGCATCTTATAGTGGCAGAAAGTAATGAAGTGCTACACACACACACACACACACACACACACACACACACACAATGGTGAGGGTATGTCAGAGACACAGAAGTCAACTGAGAGACACCCAGTGGCCAAAGCTGGAAAAACTTGAGCAACCAGATAATTAAGGTAGTATTGGATTATGCACCCAAGTATAAAATAAATATTAATGAGTCCATACTGATATAAACAAATGATGAAATTAATAAGTAGGGGAGAAGAGACAAATCTCCTGGGCATAATTCCAAATAATTTATGAAGATACGCCATCCTCAAAGAGGTGAGGCATCAACTCCCATTCCTGAAATGTCGGCTGCAGTGATTTCCTTCCTTAGAGGATGGTATGGAAAGGAATGGGGGAAAGTAGCTTTATGGTGGAGACACCTGACAAACACTACCTCAGCCAGGTGATGAAGCTCAACATTGTCAGTGGAAATAATCAAGAAGCAGAAAAGAGTTCTATTCAAGCCAAACGAAGGACTATAGTGCGGGAAATACAGATTCAAGAAGCACTTGAGTTGTGTTCTGCTGGACTACAAAATGGGGAAGGCCTATCTAGGTAAAAAGCACGACGTTACATAAGCTGTTTGTCGAGAATTAGGATTGGGATGGACCTAGAGTCTGTCATACAGAGTGAAGTAAGTCTGAAAGAGAAAAACAAATACCCTATGCTAACACATATATATGGAATCTAAAAAAAAAAAAATACATGGTCATGAAGAACCTAGGGGCAGGACAGGAATAAAGACACAGACCTACTAGAGAATGGACTTGAGGACACGGGGAGGGGGAAGGGTAAGTTGGGACAAAGTGAGAGAGTGGCATGGACACATATACACTACCAAATGTAAACTAGATAGCTAGTGGGAAGCAGCTGCATAGCACAGGGAGATCAGCTCGGTGCTTTGTGACCACCTAGAAGGGTGGGATAGGGAGGGTGGGAGGGAGGGAGACACAAGAGGGAAGAGATATGGGAATATATGTATATGTATAGCTGATTCACTTTGTTATAAAGCAGAAACTAACACACCATTGTAAAGCAATTATACTCCAATAAAGATGTTAAAAAAAAAAAAAAAGAATTACGATTGGAACTGGCAAGAAGTAAGGGTGTTTCTTAAGCAAGAATTGGTTGGGGTCCAAAATGGTTGCATAGTTACCAGGAGAGACCTTGAGACCATAAGGTGGCAGCTGTTAGCTGTTAGCAGATACTGTTTTGAGAATGACTGGTGGTGTCCTTGAGCTGGATACACTTCAGAAAAGTCAAGTTCTCAGTGATGCAGGAATGTGTCTGAAACCACATTCACAATGGCCAGCCAGATCCATGTTGGATGCCTGAACCACAGTTCAACATCTTGTCAGAACAAAGACCGAACATGAAACATAACAGGGGTACATTGCTTCAAGGTTTCAAAAGAGACAGTCTAGCACATGCACATGACCTTGGTGTCTAGTGGGGGAATCTCATCTTCAAAGGAGTACTAGCACTGATGTCACAGGAAGGAGGTAGGCATCCATCCCTATCTTCAAGGTGGACATTCTAAACAATCGGGTATAACTGCATTCTTTTTGTTGTTGTGGTTAAGGCCGATGTACAATGGATATTTGACAGGCCGTCCTAGTTATCATCATACAGTTCAAGCCAAATCCCATATAAGCCAAAACGACTTCCCCATACCTCAATACGTGAAAATGTCTTCCATCAACATCAACAGTTGTAAGTCAAGTTGATAGCATGTACCTTTGATATGCTGTGATGAGAATGGCAATTTACCTCTGTGACCTTCCTCCCCAAAACTCATAACTCATCTAATCATGAGAGGGAAAATTCAGACAAATCCCAGTGAGGTAACATTCTCCAAGATACCTGACCAGTATTCCTCAAAATTTTTAAGGTCATCAAAACAAAGGAAAGCATGAGAAATTGTCACAGCCAAGAAGAACCTAAGTAGACATGATGACTAAATGTCATGTGTTATCCCAGATAGGATCCTGGAACAGAAGGACATTAGGTTAAAAATAAGGAAATCTGAATAAAGTATGACTTTGATAATAACATGCCAACATTGGTTCATTAATTGTAGCAAATGTACCCTATAGTATAAGATGTTAATAATAGGGGAACTTGGGTGCAGGGTATATTTGAACTCTCTGTACTATCTTTGCAATTTTTCCTTAAATCTAAAATCTTCTTTAAAAATAAAGTTTATTTAAAAATATGTAGTCCTTGTACAAAGACAACTACAAAACTTTACACAGGGATATGGAAAAAGAATAAGTAGAAAGACTTATCATATACCTCGATAAAAAATCGCTTTTGCAAAAATGTTTCTCCCGGAATATTTATTCAAAAATTTAGCTCAATTTCAATCAAAATAGCAAAAAAAGTTTTTTTGAAATTAAAAAAATTTCATCTGAAGAACTAATAGGAAGGAAGAGCCAGAAGATTTTTTTAAACCTAAATGAAAATGAGCACAGATATTAAATCAAATATTAAATTTATAAACATTAAAACAGTGTGATCTTGTTGCCAGAAAAGATAGCTCATTGGAACAGAATAGAATATTCCAAAACAGGTATACTGGCATATATACAAGTATATGAATATTGAATATAAGGTTGGAATTTCAAATCAAAGAGGAAATAGAAGATGATTTGATGAATAGTGTTGGAATTTAATAAATGGTGTTTCTACCTGAGCTGGTTGTCTAAGACATACATAGATATGTAAAGTACCCTATATGTACCAAACTAGATTCCATATGGATTAAATAATTAATTTTAAAAAGTGAAAAAAAAAACCCAAAATACAGGTGATGATGTATCTGATAGCCAGCAGAAATAGCCCTTTTAGGCACACAAAGGAAAAAATAATAAAGCAAAATGTTGGCACATTTGCATAAATATTAAAAACTTTTCTGTGTTAAAAAAAAGTCCCCCTACCCCCTCAAAAAAAAAAAAGGTGATGAACTGGAAACAAAACTTTGCAACATCTATGAGAAAGGATTAAAATAGTTAAATATTTAACTATAAAATAGTTAAATATAAATAAATTCCTATATATCTGTAAGGAAAAAAAGTAACACTTCAATGGAAGAAAGAATACTAGAAGATAATTCACAAAATAAGACCGCATAAGCCTAAGTAACTTAAAAATGGTTTAGCCTGATTAGAAGTAAAAAAGGAATGTAAATTAAAGTGGCATCATCTTTCACCTTCCATCAGCAAAGGTTTTTTTTATTTTAATGACAAAGCTAATTGTTGGTTAGGAGTAGAGAAAAATAGATCCTCTCTCATACTTTTGGGGGGAGTGTAAACTGATGCAATATTTTTGGAGGACAACCTAACAATAAAGTATCAGGTGCCATAAGAAATGTACAGTTTCTGACCCAGCAATTCTTCCTCTAGGACTATATTATCAGAAAATACTTGTGAACCATGATGTAAGCACTTCAAGCCAGGATAACTTATAGAGGAAAAATAAGAATTTAAATCCTTAAAAAGGGGGTCTTCCCTGGTGGTCCAGTGGTTAAGACCTGGCACTTCCAATGCAGGGGGCACCAGTTGGATCCCTGGTAGGGGAAGTAAGATCCCACATGCTGCGCTGCGAAGCCAAAACAAAAAGGCTGGGGGCGGGGGGGAGGCGCGGACTGATACATTGAACTATAGGTTATCCCCAGGACAGAATGTTTGATGACAAGCAAAAATCGTGTTGAAATTATACAAAAAGGCAAATGTTTAGGGACGAAAAACTGATCATAGGCCGCTACGGCCGGAGCTCAGGGAGGGGTTGATGAGGAAGGAGCATGAGAGAATTGGGGGATGGGGGAGATGGGTGATGAAAACGTTCTGTATCTGAGCCGGTGTTTCACGCCTGTGAAAGTTTGTCCAAACTCCTAGAAAAGTACACTCAAAAGTTGAGCTTTGGGACTTCCCTGGCGGTCCAATGGTTAAGACTCCACCCTTCCATTGCACGGGGTATGGGCTCCATCCCTGGTCCAGGGAAAGCAGGGCGGCCAAAAAAGAGTTGAGTTTTTCTCTGTGTAAATTATATCTCAATAAATTTAACTTTAAAAAAAAATCCTGTTGAAGATATTAAACAGTCTGGGGAAACAAAAACGGCCGATTAAATAAAATGAGTAATTTACAAAGTAGTGTGCAAGTGTGATTGGAACTTGGAGGTGAGGTTACACATTCAGAGAGTGACGGAGATGGGGCGGTCCTAGCGAAATAGCCTGGAAATGCACCAAAATCTACCACTGTCTCCCTCTGGAAGTGAAATTAAATTTTCTCCTTACGTTCTGTTTTTTGTTTTGTTTTGCTTTGCTTTGTGGCGAACAACTCTTCTGTCATCAGGGGGCAAAATGTTACAACTTGGAACCCCGGTCCGCTTGCAACGGCTTTCAGGTGCTTTAGGGCTCTTTTCCTTTCGGTGGAGCCGCCAAACAAGAGAGAACCACCCGGGGGGAGCCAGCAGAGGCGGCGCCGGGAGGAGAAGGACTAGGGGGATGAAGGTGGGAGGCGGGTAAGACCGGCGAGGAGCGGTGGGAAGCGGGATGGGGGGCAGGCGAGAAGGCGCGCAGAATGTGCGTTCCTGCGTTTTGCTGGGGTCGAGATGCTGCGAGGGGCCGGCCGCGTCCCTAGTGGTTCTCCAGGAAATAACAGCATCTCGTGCAGCTTAGTCATTTCCTGAGCTCAGCTGCTGCGAGGAGGGCGTCACCATGATAAGTAAGTTTCTCTTCCCCATCAGGCTGGTGGCCTGGGCAGGGGGCGGGCGGGCCTCCCAGACCCCAACCCACGGAGGGCCAGGGGACTCGCTTCTTTCCCTCAATCCCTCAATCAACTCTCTCTCTCTCTCTCTCTCTCTCTCTTTCTCTCTCTCTCTCAAGAACGGGCAGCTGCTGCTGCGATAGGAGGAGGTGACTTTCCTGGATCCCCACATCGCCAGGCCTTCAGCTGGCCTGGGTCCCGGGATGGGAGGGAGGCCTTAGAGAGGTGGCGCTGCCGGGCGTGTGAGAGCTGGTCCGCCAGCCCCGCTCCGCTCCCGGAGCCACGCGGGTGAATCTTAGGGGCCGAGAGCCGTACTCGCTCGGAAAAGGTCACCGCGATCCCCGACGTAGCTGCAACTCTAGTCCTTATATGTAATGAGCATGTAGAGAAGATTTCATTTGAAACGGGGTTTGCTGCTAAAAACAGCAGTGGTTTATTGGTTTGTTTCACCTCTACATGTACACAGACACAAACCTGAAGCCCATAGTGGGGTAGTGACTTCCCCGTAGTCACCCAGCAAGTTAGAGACCCAACCAGGGGCCTACTCTAACCTACTGTCCCAAGCTGGCTCCACACTCCCATCTTCTTTACGTTGGGACCCCTCTCCAAGCGGCTGCTTCCCGTCTGCTCCGAGCAGACAGTCCCCAGAAACTGTCAAGGAATTCCTAAGGGAGTCCACTCCCCTGAGCCCACGCCCCGACCCAGCTCCTCTCCCCATACAGCCCTGGCCGTGGGGGCTGTGCCCGTGGTGCTGGGCGCCGTGGGCTTCACCGGGGCAGGAATCGCAGCCTCCTCCTTAGCGGCCAAGATGATGTCAGCGGCCGCCATGGCCAATGGGGGCGGAGTTGCCGCCGGCAGCCTCGTGGCCACTCTCCAGTCTGTGGGTAAGTGTCCGGGCGGGAGGAAGCGGGGAGGGTGTGACACACCAGCACAGGATTCAGCCCAGCGGCTAAGCCGGAGGGAGGGCCTGTCTGCTCTCTCCAGTTTCGTGGGCATCAATGTCCCTGGTCCTTTGTCTCTGCCGCACTGTCCTCCCTGAGTCCTGGGTGAGGTTTGGGGGCAGGAGGGAAGCGGAGCGGTGAGGGTGTTCTGGAAAAGAGAAGGAGGGAAGGAGCCCAGGATATGTGATAGCTGGGCTCTGGGTCTAGCCCTACCCAAATCTGACACCTGGGTGACCTAAGTAGGTCCCCTCCCCTCTCTAGGCCTCAGTGGGACCTGTAGCTCTTGGGGTCTGTGGTTGACTCTCCCTCTGTCTCTCACTTCCCATGAATTCACCCCCTCCCTCTGTCCAAAGCAGAGCCCTGGGGGATTCAGGACCCAGGGGAGGCATCCAGGTGGGATCTCTGGGCCTCAGGCCTCCTGAGGGGCCCCAGCCACTGGTCACTGCACCCTTCCTGTGCTCACCCTCTGTCTCCCACAGGGGCAGCTGGACTCTCCACATCATCCAACATCCTCCTGGGCTCCGTTGGATCAGCTTTTGGGGCTTTGCTTGGAGGTGCAAAAAAGGCACCTTCTTCCTCTCCTCCAGGTGGACCCAGAGCTGAAGGGGACCAGCCAGGAGAAAACGTACCCCAAGTCGAACCTCCAAAACTCCCACTCGGTTCAGAGAAGCATGAGAAATAAAGATCATCTGCAGGTGCACCTTCCTGTCTTTGTTCCTTGCAGCCCTGGGGGGCTGTGAGTTGTGAATTGGAAGTTTCCAGTTCTCCCCATCCTCCCAACCTGCCTTGTGGTAGAGGGGCAGAGGGAGGTGGCAGGCTGATCAAACACAGAATCACTTGGCAAGAGGCTCTGGTTGGTCCCCATCCTACAGGGGATGGGCTGTATAACCCAGGGCCATTTGTGCACCATCGGTGGGTCTCAGTTTACCCCTCACTCAATGATGGGGTCGACAAAGCTTCCTAAGGAGGCAGAGGTGAGGGGTAGCCAGGATGCATATCGAGCCACTGACCCCAGAGCCCTCTGCCCTTCCTCATTAATGGGCACCAGACATCCAGAGGTGAGCAGGACCCTATTCAAAGTGCTGTGGGGAGGCTGACCTGCAGACCACCAGGGCAAGGACAGGACAGTGTGCCAGTGTTACAGTGGGGCTCTGGGCACCTCGAGAGGAGGAGATGGAATCAGGAATGGTCACTACGCTGTGTCTGGAAAATCGAAAGGCAACTGGCATTCACCAGTTCCTTCGCGGCCGACAGGCGTTCCTGGTGTCCCCTAAGACTCCATTCACCTTCAGAGTGAGGTCTCACTTCCTTCCAGAGTGGCCTCATTTTCTGGAGTCTTTCTAAAGGATGAGATATCAGTTCTAACACTTCTGCTTACACCCCCAATAGATAGTCTCGAGGAGGTGTCCAGCGTGCAGGCGCTGCATTCTGTGGGCCACTCGCCGACCTATCAAGAAGGAAGAGCTGCTTAGGGTACAGGAAGCTGGAGAGAGCGTTACTCCCACCCGACAATAAGAAAAAGCTGGAAAACCTACAAAAGCGTAACTTTCCTTGAACCCCTAAGAGAGCTGAAGAGGCAGGGCCACCAGATGGCCTGAATTCTCAGGGAAGTCAGGTGCCTCCAAGGAGAGCTTTCCTCTAAAACCTGAATCTAATAGACTTGTTGGAAGAAGAGATGAATAAACAAGAAAAGCAATATTCTGAATCATTTTTTGCTTTCCCTATTGTTAGACAAGCTATGCCTGCTAATGATCAATTTCCAAATGGATATGTAAATGTTGAGTATAACCATCATGATATAAAAATTTTTTTAAATGCTAAAAGAAGCCATTAATGCGTATGGAATGCATTGTAATTATGTTCGGGGACTTTTGTCTGGTTATGCTACTGAAAACATGTTGAGAAATTAATATGTTTTCAAAAGCGTACCTAGATAAAAGACCTTGAAATAGTCACCGTGAACTTTCTCCCCAGGCTGAACAAGAATTTAAATGGATAGAAAAACATATACATGATGCACAATTGGATCGGATTGAATCTCTCGATCATTTACGACTTATTGTATTTCATACTCCTCATTCTCCTACTGGTTTACTACAACAACAAGATAATCTCATAGAATGGATATTTTTAGCTCATAAAGCTCAAAAGAAATTATAATCTTGTGTACAAAAAATAGCTGATATTATTATTAAAGGTAGGTTACGATTAAGGCAAACTGTGGTCAGGACCCACATGAACTTACAGTCCCTTTTTCAAACAAAGAAATACAAACTCTTTTTCAACTAGAGGATAACTGGCAAATTGCCTGTGCTCATTATATAGGTAAAATACATAATCATTATCCTTCTGATAAACGTTTACAGTTTTTGAAAAAGACTAATTGGATTTTGACAAAAATAGTTCAATTAGATCCTGTTATAAGACCAACTATTTTTACTGATGCCAATAAAACGGGAAGAGCAGGATATGCTAACAGTCATGATCAAAAGGTGTTACAATCTCCATATGTTTCAGTTCAAAAAGCAGAACTATTTGCTGTAATACTATTGTTACAGGATTATCCAATTGCTCTTAATATAATTACAGACTCTCAGTATGTGGAATTTACAGTTAAAAATATTGAGACCGCTTTTATCCCAGATAATGGATCAGAACTGCATTCTTTATTTTTGCAAATACAATATATAATTAGACTACGTACTGCACCACTTTTTATTACTCATATTTGTGCTCATACTCATTTACCCGGTCCATTGGTAGATGGAAATGATTTTATTGATACTTTAGTGGGTACCGTACAATTAGCTACAGCAGAACATCATAGACATCATACTAATGCCAGAGGATTGAAAAATAAATTTAATCTTACTTAGAAACAAACAAAAACTATTCTCCGTACATGCCCGCAATGTGCTGCTATTAATCAACCTTGTTTGAATATTGGAGTTAACCCTAAAGGCTTATCTGCTAATGCTATCTGGCAAATGGATATAACTCAATATCCTGGTTCTGGAAAGTTAAAATACATTCATCATTCTGTAGATACCTACTCTCATTTCTCATGGGCAACTCCATTATCTTCTGAAAAAGCTGATGCTGTAATAACTCATTTATTAGAAGCTTTTGCTGTTATGGGAATTCCCGACAGCATAAAAACCAATAATGCTTCTGCATATCACTCTCAGAAATGTCAGACTTTTTTTGCCACACATAATATAAGGCATGTTACAGGTATCCCAGGAAACAGTATGGGACAAGCGGTTATTGAACGACAAAACCGCACTTTGAAAGAAATTCTTATAAAACAAAAAGGGGGAGATGAGGTACAAAGTCTTGCTTTATTTACTCTTAATTTTTTGAATCATGGAGAACATGATCTTAGTGCAGCTGACAGACATTGGACAAAAATAAGTACACAAGAACTTAGACAGCCTGTTTTTATATTAAATAAAAATACTAACACTCGGGAACCTGGCGAGGTTCTTCGTTGGGGCCAAGGATATGCTTTTGTTTCTGCAGGAGCTGAATCCTATTGGGTGCCGGCTAAGAAGATAAAGCTTCGGGATGGCAACTAAGCGTAGCCTTGATGTGACGGGAATGACAAAGGGATTTGCGGAGATGGATTTGAGCAAGAGAGCATTCCGTGTGCCATTGGATCGAACAAAGAAGGCACCTTCATTGACCTGGGGGCAAGTGAAAAAGTTTGCAGGCACTGCTGAAAATCTTGTCATTTCGCAGGGTAAACCCCTCACTAGCACCAATCTTTTTGTAGCTATGTTGGCAATATTGTCTGCACAGGTAATAAGCATATCAGCCAATGAGATAAATTGTACTAACCATACTTATTGGACTTATATTCCTAACCCTCCTCTTAATATGGGGGTTACCTGGTGGGATGCCCCAATTTTTGTATATGTAAATGAGTCTGGATGGTTGCCTGGTCCTTTTGATGATAGAGGCCCTTTGAAGCCGGAAGAAGAAGGAAGGATAATAGAGAATTACACGGTGGGTGTTAATGGACCTCCTATTTGTATGGGAAAGGGAGATCATTGCCTTAAAATGAATTATCAGGCATGGTTAAGTATTGTCAAAAATGAAAGCAGATATCATGGGTTATATCTTTTGAGTGCTTATAGTTTTAAAAGTTCTAATTCCACTCTTAATGAAAATGTTTCCGCACCTTATATGCCTCCATGCCAGGTGCCTCTTGTGGATCGATTATCGGATTGGGTCCATTGGACTCGATGCCGAGGAGAAATGGCTCGGGTTCTTGTTAATACTTCTTGGGGAAGTGTCATTGATTGGAGCCCTTTTGGCTCCGCCCGAGGAAAAAAGGGTTTGAAGAATTTATACTGGCATAAAGAGGATAACACTATTTATAGCGATACTATTAATGATACCATAGTATGGCATGCTGGAGGGTTTTCTCCTCCTGGTCCTCATTTAAATGGATATCCTATCCAAAAGGACTTGTGGAAGCTTATGGCAGCTCTGAGAAAGATTAATGCCTGGGTAGGGCATATGGTTAATAAATCTGAAAATCATAGTTTGATTTTTCATAAAGATGTTACTCGGTATACTCGTAGTTGTATGAAATTACCTTATATATTGTTAAAGGGACCAGCTGTATGGAATGAGACTCAAGGTATTATAATGTGTAAAAATTGCTCTCTGTATACCTGTATTAACTCTAGTATATCTTTTAACATATCTACTAAAAGTTTGTATATCTTACGAGGTCGGACAGGTCTTTGGCTTCCTGTCAATCTTGGAAGGGAATGGCAAGAATCTCTTCCTATGGCTGTTTTGCAATATTTAGCTGATGCGTTAAAAAGACGTAAAAGATTTGTAGGAATGTTGATTGCAGCTGTCATGGGTATTATAGCCATAACAGCTTCTACTGCAGGATTGTTAATGCTCATTATAATAATAATCACATGTTTAATTGTAGTCCAACGACGAGTGAAAGCTACCCGCCATGCAACACCGCAGCAAGCTGCCGTGTTCTCCTTGATGCTACAAAAATTACAAAACAAAAAGGGAGAAATGTAGTGGAACAACTGAGGACATGGAAAGGAGACGTGACCCATGAGCCCCCCCTCCCCCAGCAAACTGAGGGCTGGTGAATAAGCCAGAACTGCAAACAGTCCTGATTGCTTTGAGCCCCCCCGCCCGGCAAACCGGGGGCCTGCGAAGAAGCATTGAGTGCTCTGGGCACTGATCCATGAGATGTCCTCAGTATAATCAGAGTGGTGGGAGCTCAAGGAAATGTCCTTGTGCTACTTCAGTATAATCAAAATAATGGTGGGAACCCTGTGCTGCTTTTGCGCTCAAGGACGAAGCATGGCAGGTGCTCACGAAAGCCAATTATTGCTTCTATAATTAATAAAAACATAGGTTGCTGCTTTGGCACTTCTGAAATGTTAAGAAAACAAGTCTTAAAGTGTAAACCTAGATAATGCTTTAATAAAAGTTACCACAGCAGGACAGACGGCGCTGTTTTGCCTGAGTGAGTGGCAGCCCTCTACTGCTGTGCTTCGGCACAATTCATCTCGTGTGATGAGCTTACTTTCGGCCCTGTCATAAGATAAACTACAACATTCTTCCTCGTCACTTGGTATCCAATCTGCTTTCCTGGCGGAATTCAAGGCATGAGAGGCATCCCCCTCCTGGAGAAACAGGCCTATTGGTTTCTGTGAATTTCCTGTCACTGGAAGACAGATAGAAAGACAACCTATGGAACAGAAAAGAGTGGTACCATCAGACCACATGTGACATTAAAAACACCACAAACAAGGGTAAGAGACATGTAATCTACTGAGGGGGGAAAAAAAAAAACACAATACCCTTTGCATCATTAGAATCCCCAATGTAAAGAAAGTTTTTATGAAACAATTTTTCAAAAGAACTGTCTTTAAAAAGGAACTCAGACTAGAAGAGGTGGTTCCTAAAAAAAGAATTATACATGGCCAATAAATATTTGAAAATGTGTTCAATCTGCTAATACTAAAAATAATTTTTAAAAGAGAAAACTCTGTGTGTATGTGTGTGTGTGTGTGTGTTCCATGCACCTGTTAGTCAGGGTTTGGCTGCAGATAACAGAAGTCACTCCAGGTAACTTAAGCAGAACAGGTTTTTTGGGTTGTTTTGGTCGAACCCTTGGGGTTCTGGGCGCCTGGGTCCCTCAGTGATGACGGCTGGGCAGGGTTTGGGGACCTGGCCCAGAGGGCGCCACCAGCTGAGATCTGCCTCCTTAGCAGGGCCTGGGCACTCGCGGGAGAATCCAGACTGGGTGCTGGACTAAGGCTCCCAGGCAGGGTAACCTGTCTGCACAGAGACCCCCTCCTCTTAAGCACTGCCTGGACCTCGGAAGGTGAAAGTTGTGCCTTGGGACCTTGCCCTTCCTTGTCAGAACAGAGAATAACATTTGTTTGGTGGAGGTTTACAGGAACATGGTGACCGTGACCTGACCTCAAGAACAAAGGATGTGATACCAAGAAGTTTGCAAACACTAACCAGGCCCCTCCCTCACCTTTCCTATAAAAGGGCTTTGCTGAAAGCTTGGGGAGTTCTGGGTTTTTAAGGCATGAGTCACCCGTCTCCTTGCAGGGCCCTGCAATATACCTTTCTCTGCTCCAAAATGACGTTTTGGTATTGTTTGGCCTCACTGTTCGTCAGGCACACAGACTTGCGTTCAGTTACATGACCTCTTCCTTGGGTTTGATAATTTGCCAAAAGGCTCACAGATCTCACGAAAGCACTTTACTCACCACTACGGATTTATTACAAAGGATATTAAAGGATACAAATGAACAGCCAGATGGAAAAGTACCTATGAGGAAGTCCGGAGCACAGGAAGTGCAGTCCCCGTGGACTTCAGGCGCCAGGTGGGCGCAGACTATGCCACCCAGGCTCTTGGGGACACACTGGCAAGTTCCTCCAAGAAATGAGTTGAGCTGTGTCCCATGGTGGCTCCGGGGTGGTGGGGAGGCTCACTCGACCTAAGCTTGGTGAATTCCCCCGTTGTCCTTTAGGACTTCCCAAAGTCACCGGACATAGAGACAGTGTATGGGAAAGGTTTCCCAGATGGTCTGGTGATCCCCACCTCAAAAAACAGAGTAACTACCGTGAAGTTGATTTCTCTGCATATAACAAAGGACCCAGTTTAGCTTGATTATTGGAGGCAGCCCGACCTTCCCCAACCATCAGTGAGCAACAGGCGAGGCATGAAAACCTAGGGAAAACAACACCTCCAATACAGGCTGGTTGAGTTGTAAATTAAATGCTAAAACTTCTGCGAGGCTCCAGGCATACAGCCAGTACGTAAACAGCCACTGCACTAAAACCAAAGCAAGAATACAAGAACTTACGTTCCCATACATGAGCTAGAACAGAGCCCCTTCAGAGGAAGTGCGGCGGGCTCCACCTGTTGCTCCCGCTCCCTAAGCCCGAGAGGAGGACCTATCAGCGCGGCCCCTTGCACTCAACGTCTGCGCTCTTGGTACCCGCACTGCGGAAGCCCGCCGCGCGCAGCGAATTAAGTGTGGGGTCTAGAATGGGGGCGGGACTTCCTTCGCAATGCGCACGCGTGCGTGGGCGCAAGCCCCTCCCCGGAACTGCGGTGGACGCTGCCGAGGAGGGCTGGAGCAGCAGTGTCTGAGGCGGTTAGTCGGCGTCCCTGCACGGTGAGTGCCAAGGCCGGAGCCGGAACGGGGCCGGGGCCGGACCCGGCACCCGAGAGGAGCTGGAGGCGGCCACCCAGCGCGGGTCTCTCCAGGCCGTTGGGTTCTCGGGACCAGAGAGGGCGGCCGCCGGCCTCGTCAAGCGGCCTGGCCGATCCTGCGCCGGGGTCCCCTCGGTTTCTCATTTTCGTGAGCCGGTTCGTGCCTGACACGAGGCGCCAGCGCCGGGCGCCAGGAGGAGGGACCCCTCCTGCTTGTTCTGCGGGTCGCAGTCGGCGTCCTCGCCCCCATGTGCCTCCCTCCTCCCCCCCGTCGTTGATCCGGGTTGCTTGTGATCGCGGCGTAGCCGATGCTGGGGGTGAACCTTCGTTGCGCTCTGGCTTGCTTTGCCGTCGGGGCGCCATGCTGAGCGGTTCTGGACCTGCGTCATCTTTTTGTCTTCGCGTGACGTTCCAAGGAGACACAGACCCTCATCATCCCCATTTTCCAGACGAGCAACTGAGGCTCACAGTGATCAGTACGTGCACCCCAGACCCAGAGCTGGCCAGTGACGGGTTCAGATTTGAACCAAGATTTCCCTTTGTCTTTCCACAGGATCTAGTTTTCTCGGCCTTTCTGAAAAGGGAGAACGTGGCTCGAGTTCCAGTCTGACGACTTGTGCATAGATCACTTGTTTTTAAATCACTTAAAAGGTAATGAAAAAGCTGGTTGGGTCTTAAGTCATTTGGCAAAGGCCAGAGTCGTGGCAGAGGCATCTGCCCTCTTGGGGCAAGGCTTGAGAAGGAAGAAAGCTCTGTGCACTCTTAATAAAGCTGCCCTCCTCACCCACCCTCCAGCGACCCCCCGCACATACTTATTCAGCCTTCAAAATGGCTTGGGTGTGGCAGGCTTCACTCTCCATGCTTTACATAATGTTATTTATTGCAGAGAACATTTTGGGACTTAGCTAGTAACCCCCTCCCCCCTTTTTAAAATATGAGAACACTGAGGTTCAGAGAGGATTAAGCAGGACCTGCCAAGGGCACGCGAGCAGTCAGTGTTGAATCTGGAATCCAAACCAGATCTAGCTCATATGTCTTTGCTACACCTCCTGTGTCCCCTCTGTTGCAGGCCAAGCTGCCCACTGTGTGGGTACATTTCTTTCCTTCTTTGATCTTCTCTAGCTGGCAGCATCACCGTTAGAGCCATCTTTGTGTCCACTTCTTTGCAGGGTCTGATACTCTATAGGCTGCTTAGAAAATATTTGTTGCCTCAGAGCCCTGTGCTTCTCAGTTGCCAATCTAGTGGAACATTTCTCTCCTTTTCAGCAACCATGAAGTTGAAAGAGAAAAAATCGAGGCCAAAGCCATCAAACTATGGCAGAATTCAGAGGAAGGGCATCAAAGTTGTGGGAAAATGGAAGCAGGTGAAGATTGACCCAAATATGTTTGCAGACGGACAGATGGATGACTTGGTGTGCTTTGAGGAACTGACGGAGTATCAGTTGGTCTCCTCTGCGAAGAGTTCCTCCAGTCTCTTCTCAAAGGAGGAGCCCAAGAAGAGAAAGGCACAAGCTGTTTCAGAAGGAGAGGAGGAAGGAGAGTCTACCTCCTCAAAGAAAAAGATGAAGTTGAAGAAGAGTAAAGATGTGGAAACTGAAGGAACCAGTGCCCAGAAAGTGTTTGAGGGCAAAGGTAGTGAGCCAGGGCCCCAGGGAGATGGCACAGTTTGTCCTGATCTAGAGGTAGGGGAGATGGCATCAGAAAGCCCGGCCCAGACGGTTCCAAAAAAGAAGAACAAGAAAGGGAAAAAAAACTCAGAGCCTTCCCAGGGTACTACTCCAAAGGTGCCCAGAAAAGCAAAGACCTGGATGCCTGAAATGCATGATCACAAGGCAGATGTATCGGCTTGGAAGGATCTCTTTGTACCCAAGCCAGTTCTCCGAGCGCTCAGCTTCCTAGGCTTCTCTGCCCCCACACCAGTCCAAGCTCTGACCTTGGCACCTGCCATTCGTGACAAACTGGACATCCTTGGGGCTGCTGAGACAGGTAAGGGCATCCTTACCTGGCGGCCAGGGCAAGATTGCTTCTGGATTGAGCTTGTGGCTGCTAACAGGCTGGTTGGCTGGGAGATGGGAATGTTGGGAGCATGACCACAAAAGCACTGTTGAGTGAAGGTTTTTAGAAGTCGGCTGGCTCTGGGTTGAAATAGGCCATGTCCTGATTGGTGCCCTAGGCAGGTCACTTTATTTCTCTGAGCCCTGCAGACCCTATTATAAAATGGAGATAGACAACTGCAGTACCTCCTTCTTTTGCTATGTGGGTTAAATATAAGTGCCTACTAAATTTCTACATTTACACAATAGTAAACTAGTAACAAAAAACAATAGTAAACTAAAATTTACACAGTACATTGTAAGTGATCTGCGAATGGTAGTTTTTTTCCAGGTCTTGAGCCTTTTCTGAATGGCTCAGAGGTAAAGTAGGGCTAATAAGATCAGCCCTCTGGAGAGGTCGATCTTCATTAGTATAAGGAAGAAGTGTCTCATTCGCAAGAGTTGTCCAAAGATAAAAAGGGCTGCGTTGGGAGTTGGTGGGTTTATTGGCATTGAAAGGATTTGAGTTTGTGTAACCATTGGGTGGGTTTTGTAGGCAGATTTGGGCAGGAGGTGACTATTGCGACTAGGCATTGCTTAAAGCTCCCTCATTCCTTGGGCCACCTGAGACTTTGTGAAGCAGTGACAGGTACACTCACCCTGGGGAGACTAAACTGCTGATGGGGGAAGGAGCAATACAAGCCTGGAGCTATTAGTCTAACTTGACCAGCAGTAACCAATAGAAATATATACGTAATGTGAGCCACGTATGTAACTTAAAATTTCCTAGGAGCCATATTAAAAAAGGTTTTTAAAAAGTGAAAATTAATTTTAACAATATATTTAACCAATTACATAACATAGTTCAGTACGCAATGAAGGTAAAATTATTGAGATATTTTACATTCTTATTTTTATACTGTTTTTAGACTCTGATGTGTATTTTCAAGTTGCCGCCCATCTCAGTTTAGAGTAACCACCAGTTACTCTACACCAGTTACTCTACAACCAGTTTAGAGTTTTAAGTGCTTGACAGCGGTATGTGGCTAGTAGCTACTATATTGTATGACACAGAACTGTAACCAAAAGTGGGGTCCAGCTGCTCGCCGCTCAAAAGCCAGTAAAGAGGCCAGGTTGGTGAAAGGAAAGCTTGCTTTATTTTGGATGCCGGCCAACGGGGGGGGGGGGGGGGGGGGGGGGGCTCCTGTCTGAAGGCCGACCCCCCCCATCCCCCCAACCAGTGGGCAAGAGATTTTATAGATGGAGGGGAGGGGGCCGCAACAGAAACAGCACAGTCAGCTCTGACAGTCACCTTGAAACTGGTCACTGGTGGTCTGACCAGCATCGTCTTCATTAAGTACAGTTGATCTTCAGTTCCAGGGTCGGTTTGTTTCCATTTTCTTGAGGCCAGTTCTCGGAATGGCAGCTTATGTCATGGCTACAGTCTGGTCATCATGTAGTTAACTTTTTTCACCTGGTGGGCCTTTTATCTGTAGATACACAGAGGGTATCTACAAGACAGCTCACAGGATATGGCTCAGAATATTATCTATAGCCCTTGAGAAGGAACTAAAGGTCCTTAGCTATGCTTATTGACTAAACATTTATTATTTAGTCTTGTCGGACTGCTTTCCTTTGCTTCTGCATTTTCTCACTTCTCTGATTAAACTTATTCTTTGGCTGAAGTTTTTCCACAGACAAAACGCAGGCAGAGGACATGGGCGGGAAGGACCATAGAGTCCTGCTCCATTTCAGAGCTGGACCATGTAGACCAGCGGTCCCCAACCATTTTGGCACCAGGGACTGGTTTTGTGGAAGACAGTTTTTCCACGGAAGGGGGTGGGTGGTGGTTTCAGGATGATTCAAGTGCATTACACTTACTGTGCACTTTATTTCTATTATTGTTAGTTACATTGTAATATATGATGAAATAATCATACAGTTCACCATAATGTTGACAGGAGGCCGAGCTCAGGGAGTAATTTGAGCGATGGGGAGCGGCTGTAAATACAGATGAAGCTTCGCTAACTGGCCGGGCCGCTCACCTCCTGCTGTGCGGCCTGGTTCCTAAGGGGTCACAGACCGCTACCGGTCCGTGGCCTGGGGGTTGGGGACCCCTGATCTAGACACTTTGTGCCTTGGATTTCTGGAAGAGTGGTCAGGAAACTTGAGGTGAGGTCCTGTATAAGAGTCATGAAGATGGAAGAGGAAGGAATCCCCAGGAAAGGGGGATGGAGGTAACAGTAATAGCTTAGAACATTTATTTAACATTTAAAATACGTCACGCCCTGTGTTACATGCATGAACTCAGTTTCTGAAAACCACCCTGAGGTAGATTCCTTTATTCCATCTTACTGAAGAGGAAACTCGGCCTCACAGAGGGTAGACGGTGTCCCTAAAACTGCCCCACTGGAAAGTGGTAGTGCTTGAATAGTTCTAGGCTAGGTCTATGTGCTGTTAAGCCTTCTGCTGCACTACTTTGGTAGGTGCAGAGAGGCCTGGAAGTCTGTTTCTGGGAGGCAGAGGAGAGATGGGAGCCACTTGGGCTAGAGATTGACATTTGGATTTATACCACAGCTCCTATCAGGCTATTTCTATGGAATGCTGTGAATCCACAGGTCCAAGTCTCAAAGAGTTTTGGGGCTGTGGGCAAACTGCTGCCAATGCAGATAATATATCCATCACCCCCAAAAGATGTTTGGGCCCCTTAATAAATCCCTCCTTCCCTAGG